ACGCAGTTGGATGCCGTCCCTGTGGAAACGGATGCCAGGCTGCAAGTGAGTGGAACTTGAGATGTCAGCGGGGAGTCAGGTGTGGGGGGGGGGGGTCACAGCGTGGAGGCTGGCAGTGTAAAAAAAACAGCGGTCCTTCTCATGAATAAGGTACTCGCTGCGGCGTGTCTTTATGTTAGATTTCCTGTGGATATTCTTGGTTTTGCCCGTTTGGTTACAGTTGCTCATCATTTTTAATTAAAAACAATAACTCTCGTTAAGTATCGGGGGATTTTTTCTCAAATCCAAGTCAAATCTACCCGACACTTGATGAATCTACAGAAGATGAAGAGCAGGAAACAGATAAGATCTGCTCTCACATGCAACCAGCTGAGACACACTTCACCATTACACCGCTGCAGACAGAGACCGAGCTTCTCTGTCGTTAGCTAAAGAGTCAGCATGTCAAAGGAAGTATTTCAGCCACTAAATGTTGCCTCGTAAGAGTATATTTCTCACATGGATCCGTAGACTGTGTAGAAGAAGTGGACGTAGTCGTGGTCACGGCACCCATTGGTTTGTGGACTGAGGTTTTGAAGCATTTTGGCCGTCGCCATCTTGGATAAAGATCCTCGCCACCTATTTTTTGTTGCAACCAGTAAACAGAAGTGACCATATTTGGACAGCGGAGGAGTGACGTAGAGACGCCGTATACGACTAGTACCGGTAGCAACCTGTCAATCACAGTAGCCCCGCCCTAAAGCATGCTCTGCTTAATGGTCTATTTGACTCTACATGGACCATAACTTACTAAATGAACATCATGCTGTATTAAAGAAGACTTGAAACTAGAGATTGAGACCATAAACTCATGTTTACTGAGGTAATAAATCAAGAGAGAAGTAGAGTCATTTTCTCATAGACTTCTACACAACCAGAGGAAAGAAGAAAACACGTCGTCTTAAAATGAAATGATAGTCCCCAGATATTTTACCAAGGTGTCAAACCTCTTTGGACCTTATGGTTCAGACTCTGTGGCTGTACTCTGTATGTGTCTACCGGACACACTGAGTATAAGTGTTGACGAACTGACTACGAGCTGGAACACTGGCTACGACAAACTTTTCCTGCAAAATTCAACCTCTTAACTTAGTTTTTCTGTCAGACGTCGGCTCTTTTTGTGCAAAATTTAGCTAAATAATACGTTTCGAGCTGTTAAGAGATTCATAAGACAGTACAGCTCCGAGGGGGAGGCCAGATGTCAACGAGCAGATGCATCGCCCAAAGCTTTGAAAAGTGCAGCGAAAACCCTTTTCAGTGTGACTCACACTGATGTGTTGAAACTGTACCAGATGTCTGAATTCAACTTTGAATACAACCATCCTCAAATCAAAGCAATCATAGGATGCTGCTGACGAGGAAACATCCTTTTTACTTTACGTGGTTTCTTGTGAAAATGTTTATTGTAAAGACATCTCTATTCCTCGTATATATATCTGAACACCAGTGATGAGAGGCACCGGGCGTTTTCTCCATCGCGTTACTCAAACTCAACACGACTACTGAGTATTTTACTCACAACGGTCTTGCAGTAAATCTCTCTGCCGAGCTATGAACCAATGTGGATTGTTTTCAATTCTCTGTGCAGCCCGTGTGTGTGTCTGTGTGTGTGTGTGTGTGTGTGTGGGCACTGCAGCTCGTTTCAAAACCCTCCCACCTCGCTAGCCGAGCCTACTAAAGACGAGCCGCAGAGCAGTTTCTTGGCCAAATGTCACGCAGCGCCACCACCACAGCCACTCAAAAGTCAAATCTACAGCAGCTGATCTGAGAGAAGATGCAAGTCGAGAAGACGGCGACTCAGTCGGGATGGATTCGGTGAGACAAAATCACGTGAAGTGGAGCCGAGGATGCCGTCGGAAGAACAATCGCTGTGAGGAAATACAGACACAGCGAGTGTGTCTGCCGTCTGTGGCCTTGAGGCCAGACGCCCGAGAGAAGGAAAAATAAATCCCTGCGGGGGGGAGGCGTGTCTGTCTGTCTGTCTGTCTGTCTGTCTGTCTGTGTGTGTGTGTGTGTGTGTGTCCTCTCCTGAGAGAGGGAGTGTGCACATGAGGATAAGCAGCACAAGCAAGAAGAGAGAAGTGAAATGAGGATGTGATTTTGGATATCAACGATAAAACGTTTGTTTCCTGACGAAGCCTCAACACCACTTCAGCCATTTTTATCAGAAACTCGACTTTAGACAAACAACGGTGTTCTTGCTCACATTGTTTAGTTTGTAAGAAAAAGGCCAAACCTGCTTTCTCTTGTTGTAATACCACCAACATGTCTAAGATGGTGACTTGGCTCAGTATCCCTCCTGAATACTCACACCAGCTTGAAATTTAAAGCTAACACGACTTCCAGTCAGGGAGTCTGGAGGACAGATACCGTCTCCTAATGAAATGCTTGATGCTCACAGCAACCACAGCCTCCACAGGACTTCATCCTCACACTCTGGATGAGATCACATAAGACACTTTATCTACCAGCAAATACACACACAAAGAAGAACATGTTGGGGTTGTTTTCTACGCAGTGTTGCAGGCAGGATGAATCCACACATCCCATTGATCACCAAACCAGAGTGAGCTCACGGTGATGAGGGAGAGGTTCAAATAATCATGTTGACATTTGCCAAAATGATGCTGGGAAAGAGGAGCAGTACTGCCATCGTAACACACACACACACACACACACACACACACACACGTAGAAAGTAGAACTTCAAAGATGAGCATCCAGTCCACCAACACACCTGACAGCCTCATAAATAGTCAAAAATGAACTGCACGGTTTCTGTATGGCGTCCATGTGATGAACAGTCTTCTTCTCAAGTACTTGTACTTTACTTGAGTCTTTCTATAGTTATGCTACTTTATACTTCTACTCCACTATATTTCAGAGGCAAATATTGTACTTTTTACTGCACTACTTCTACTAAATACCGTTAGTTTCTTTATAATATCAATACAAAACTAAATCAACTACAATTATTGTAATTAAAAAGGGGCCATTCTGCACGTGTTAAGGAGTATTTTTTTCACATTTACTTTAAGATCGGAGTACTTAATTAAGTATTAATTGGGGATTAACATCACAAGATCGCCACGAACCTTTCTTGAACTCCTCCAGCATGGAGTCCAGCTTGGTGTCGTGGAACACGAAGTGGACCGGGTGGTTGTAGAACTTGGTGATGGTCTTGAGCGTGGTGCAGTCGTCCGGGTCCACGAAGGCCAGGTCCTTGACGTACAGGATGTCCACGATGTTGGAGCGCTCGTGATCGTACACGGGTATCCTCGTGTAGCCGCTCTCCATGATCTCGGACATGGTGTTGAAGTCCAGCACGGCGTCGCTGTGGATCATGAAGCAGTCGCCCACCGGCGTCATGACTGTCTCCACCGTCTTGGTGCGGAGCTCCAGCGCGCCCTGGATCATGTTGAGCTCCTCCGTCACCAGGTCGTTGTACGGCTCGGTCACCTTCAGCATGCCCACCAGCTTCTCCCGGTTGTACACGGTGCCGATCTCCTGGCCCAGGACGCAGTCCAGGAGCTTGCTGATGGGCCACGACAGGGGGAAAGTCAGCAGCATGAACAACTTGGTGACCATGATGGTGTTCGCCCCGACCGCCAGACCGTGCCGCGAGCACAGCGCCTGCGGCACGATCTCGCCGAAGATCACGATGCCCACCGTGGAGGCGATCACGGCGCCGATGCCGGACTTGGTGAGGTCGTCCAGCAGGATGGTGAGGGTGGTGTTCACCAGGACGTTCCCGAGGAGCAGCGAGCACAGCAGATAGTTGCCCTTCCGTCGGATGGGCTCGATCTTCCGCGCGTACTTCTTCTCCTTCTCGGTACCGCAGCTCTGCACGATGCGCAGCTCCATCGGGTCCAGCGCCATCAGCCCGAGGTTGAGCCCGCTGAACATGCCGGACAGCACCAGCAGGAAGCAGATGATGATCACCTGCAGCCAGGTGGGCAGCAGCGACTTCGCCACCTCCACCACGCGCACCCTGCCGTCCTTGTCGTCCATCAGGTTCCACGTCTCCTCCTTCTCCTGCGTGTCGCGGACGCACAAGCCGAACACCTTGACCGCCTCGCTCTTGCGGAGCTGCTTGATCCGGAGGCTGACCACGCCGGAGGTGTTTTGGTTGGTCACCATCATGGAGCCCTTCACTTCTATGTCCTTCGTGAGTTCGGAACAAGTCCTGTTGACTGGGGTCATGAGTGCGCCGAAGGTGTCGTCCTCTTTGTCGCTGGAGTAAAGTTCCGTGAACTTGATGAGCGCCGAGGTGTTCGGGAGCAAGTGGAGCCCGTAGAACCTGAAGAGGATGTCGCTGCCTTCGGTCACCTGGATAACCCCTCTCTCGGTGGTCCCCGCCGGCGTGTCGCTCTTCTCCAGCCGCATGCCGAGTATCCGGGGCCCGCTTCTCGACTCCGCCGCCGCCTCCTCGGCCCGGCTGGCCGCCAAAACACCAGAAAAGACCAGTAAAGTTAGCGTGAACCCGAGTTCACTCGAGTCTATCGCCATGTTTGTTTCGCTCTCTGCGAATGGGGGGAACTGACGTCACACCTACTCGTTTCCAACGAGCACCACCCTGCTCATTTGCATAACCACAAACATCGACAAGGCAGCCAATCAGCGGGTGTGACGTCATTCGACCGAGCCCCCTTCAGTTATCATTTTTAAGGTCGGCTGATATATATATTTTTTTTTTTTTTGCTTTTAAGGTGGACTGAGTGGAGTTTTAAAAATGTCACTAAGTTACATGTATTTTTTCTTACTGATTTTATACATTTTCTAAATGATGCATTTTGAGCTTTGACAACATTTATTTAGTTTTATTCATTTTATTAATTTTATTCGTTTTATTTTTATTATTTTTATTTGTTATTATTATTATTATTTCGATTTTTTTTAAATAAAACCTGAACGATATGAGTGCTGATCAATACAGCTGAATTCCCATATAGCACATTGTCCTTTTTACATTACTTTTCGTTAACAACAATCCAGATATAGTATATTGGCATTTCAATTGGAATTAACTTTATTCCAAATAATCTCCAGGTCTGTAGTGAGGGATAAATGGAATTAAGGGTTGGGTTAGAGACAGAATACCAATTAAGTTCACATTTAGTCAAATTAAATTAGTCAATACAACTAGCTGATATTCAGCTATTTGAATTTAAATAAAGTGAAATACCCTACAGTAAAATGTTGTTGTTGTTGTTTTATCATGGTCTTCTGACAGATTAGGCGTTACAGGTAATGGAAACATTTAAGTATGAGATGATAAGTGACAAAGAAACAACAACACAATAATTGATTCCAACTGATGTTTTTGGGTTGAGGCTCGGTGACATTGCAGTTTGTTTTGCATCTGAAAGATCATTCTTTCATGTGTTTTTCTCATTTTCCTGTGTACATTTCTATTCATGATCCATAACATACGACTGCGGTAGAACATATGGGACTATAATGAGCTTGTATGTGAACCTGTGTTTTACTGAACACTGAACACCCACCTGCTCCATTCTATAGCAGAATCTGACCTCTGGACAAAAGTATGTTGGTGCTAAAAGAAAAAGAAAGAAGGAACTCTGAGAAGTGCAGAACTCCTGTATTATTTTTATTAAAATGGAGAAGAACTTGAAATTAACAAGATTAAACTACAAATAACTATCTTCTTTTTCTTTTGAAACATCAGTATATGTAAGTGTATTTTCTTAGAACAGAGCTCCATCTTGTGGTCAAATCACACACAGTGCAGCCTGATGGACGGCTGTGGAAGTTGTGAAACACATGCTATTCAAATAGAAATCAGCTTTCCATCATTAATGCTGATGCATCAATGTGTGAGCAGCATTTTACTAGCTATCTTTATAAGCAGTTGGTATTATAGTCCAGTGTCCACAACCTAAAGTCCGGTCCCCTCCGGAGAAAATGTTTTTTAATTTCAATCTAAAAAGTAACCACAATTACAACCAGGAATTACATTGTTTAAATGTAAAAAAAACAGTACTATATTTTGCTTGTAATTCTTGTGATGTATAAATTAGCATGAAAAGGTAAAGCTCATGTAAAGTACAAGTACATCAAAATGTACTTAAGTACAGTAGTTGAGTAAATGTACTTTGTTACATTCCATCACTAATTAAACAAAAGCCTACTTGACTTAAAACAACATGAGATGAAACAGTGATATTTATCGGGATATTCGGTTCCTTCATCTCTCCCTAAAACCCCCAAATGTTTGTTTTAAATTTATTTTTGTGTACAAATGAAACAAACAAGCTACAATATGTTAATTAGTGCACTTTAGGAGGTGCACATGTGTGGTTTTTTTTTTTACTTTGGAGAGGGCCAGGTTAGCTGCTTCTAGTCTTTATGCCATGCTAAGCTAACTGCTATCTGCATCCAGCTCCTAACGCACTTCAATCTTCACATTATAGAAATCTAATAAGAGTATTTTCCAAAATGTCTGAACTATTCCATTGAATATGTTGCTTGCTACATGGCCAACATGACAGAGGAACAGAGGATCTGGACCCGTATATGTGGAGCTGAATCTAATCAGAGGAAATGGGGAAAGGTCGGTGATTGGGTGACACAGGTGAGGAGGTGAGCGGGGAACGTCAGGTAGAGCAGATGAGTTAAGTGGAACCAGGTGTGTAGATGTTGCAGTCAGGTGATCGAGAAAGAAGGGAATTTATGTCATTAATGTCTTTAAATATATATATATATATATATATATAT